AAAAAAATTAGAACCGTTTTTTAGTTTAAGTTTGAAAACTAAAAAAAATTAAGGGACTAAAAAAGTTTAAATTGATAAATAAAAGGACCAATACTTAGTTTTAACCATCACAAAGAAAAACGAAAATTAACGTGGTGGGGAAAATTAACGAAAATTTAATTCAATTTTATCCAACTTATTATTAACTTTTTAATTATTTATGTTAGATTGATTTTTATTTATGTATGAATAATTTATATTACGAAAATTTAATTCAATTTCATTCAACTTATTATTAACTTTTTAATTATTTATGTTAGATTGATCTTTATTTATGTATGAATAATTTATATTTAAAGAATTTTAATTAATTATACTCAAATTTTTAAAATTTTGTTTATTATAATTAAATATTAATTAATTATATGTAAAAAATTTATTTTTTTATATTAATTAGTGAAAAATGAGAATCCCTCAAAAAACAAAGATTGGAGGCAAAATTTATCCCCATTAAAAATCTCCACAAAAATCTCCTTCCCTATCATTCTCCACAAAAATCTCCTTCCCTATCATTCGTGGGGACAGGGATGAAAAGCACTCCCCAACCGCACAAGGAACCGTTGACATCCCTGGCTGCCACACACCGTTCGGTCTCAGCTTGCCTAGAACACTGTCGGCCTCCTAATAATTATCCCAGAATTAAAAATATATTCTTCAAATGGTAAAACTTCAATTATATTATGGAAGTAAGCATATGATCTTAGTGGTTCCTCACATCCCGTAATTTCTGTTTTGTTTTCTGTTTTTAACATTTATTATACTTCAGACTGAAAAAATTTTATAATTAAGAACACATTGCACACCACACGTCTTAGATTGCTGAAATCAGAAAGTTAACAGCTAATACAAGGATTGATTTTTTTTTTTGTGTAAAAAAAAAATATAAAAATGTGAGACAAAAAACAATACAAAAAAAAAAAATACATTTTAAACGTGATTTGATATCATTATATTGAAGTCCCAAGTGCGCTCATACAAGGATTTTACTGAAATCAGGAAATTAACAGCTAATACAAGGATTGATTTTTTTTTTTTTAACAAATTTATAAGGCGTCGAATTCCAACTGTTATAAAAAAAAACCCCTTTAAACATGACTCGTCGTAATTGGGCTGGAGGCCCCAGTGCGCTAATACAAGGATTGATTGAGATCTGAGACAAAAATAATTATCATGAAAACCTGAAATTGTTATGTAATTGTAAGCACAGAAGACACGTGCTTCTTTTACAGCCACTTGTCGGCAGTTCTAACAATAATGTATAATGCAGAACCGACGCCGGTGGAGACAAGGTCTACCGGAAGAAATGTAGAGGGGACCCACCATTAAAGCAACCTTCTTTTTATCATGTTGTTCATGCTATAATTTGGGGAAGAAGATTAGCTGACTGCAGGGAAGGGTTTTTCTTAATCCTTTGGGGGAGCAAACAAAATGTCAAATTGGTTCTCTTTCTTTATTTGGGAAGCCGTGTATTTTGCGCAATAAAGTCAATTCCCCTGTTTTCTAGAGAGCCGAATATACCACAGTAGCAGACAGGAATACTGCTGTTTCAAAACTTCAAAAACTTGCAGCGTTGATCTGGGGTTTGGTTGAAAATCCCATATTTGTTTGCAAGATTAGAGATTTCTGCAACTCGGATTTGTAATTCTTGACATCCTGAGGACCCGATTGCCTTTTCTAATTGTTCGTTGTCATTGTTCAAATGGGTTGTTGTGGAAGCAAGCACGAGCACAGATATTCACATCCAGATGGTAATGACCATAGATCAGGTGAGCCTTTTGCTCCGGTGAGGCCTACCCAACAGAATTATCATCAACAACAGCAGGTTGAATCCCAGAAAGTGTCTGTTCCTCAGCCTCAAGTCCCACAACCACGGGAGCCACAGCCGACTCAGGAACAGGTTAAAGCTACACGCACAAGCCCCAGGCCTCTTCAAAAGAAGCAGGAGACAATCCTTGGCAAGCCTTTTGATGATATCACTCAATTCTATAATCTAGGTAAAGAATTGGGTAGAGGGCAATTTGGCATAACTTATTTGTGCGCTGAGAATTCTACTGCGAACGCTTATGCTTGCAAATCAATCTTGAAGAGGAAGCTGACCAGCAATCAAGACAGAGAAGATGTGAAGAGAGAGATACAGATCATGCAGCATTTATCTGGGCAGCAGAACATTGTGGAATTCCGGGGTGCTTATGAGGATAAGCAATCTGTGCATGTTGTGATGGAGCTTTGTGCTGGTGGGGAGCTGTTTGATCGGATTATTGCTCAGGGGCATTACTCTGAGAGAGCTGCTGCGGAAATTTGTCGTTCAATAGTAAATGTGGTCCACATTTGCCATTTCATGGGAGTGATGCATCGTGATCTCAAGCCGGAAAATTTCTTGTTGTCTAGCAAGGATTCCGGAGCCATGTTGAAGGCAACAGATTTTGGTTTGTCTGTCTTCATTGAGGAAGGTGAATTTCTTATCGAGTTTCCAATGTTTATTTTTCATTGTTTCTCATGTAAGTGTATTCAGTAAAACCGTTTGTGATTTGCCATGTTCAGAATATTTGTTGATTTTTGTCATGCTGTAGCCTGTATATTATACGTTTGAACTTTAATTTGTCAATCTGTGGGATCTGTTGATTGAATTCAATTTTCAGATGCATAATAGGAAAGCAATGAACAATTAGAACTTGGAAGTGTCATGCATACATGACCTAATTGCTAATGCAATGTCATTTCTTGTAAGGAGTTTACTTTACATTCAGATAATTACTAATAGCTTCCATCTCTGGGCTTAGCTACTCAAATGGTTTTGTATTCAATTCATTTGATTTCTAATTGAACTTGATTCTATCTCTGGATCAGTTTGCAGAACCTGCATTTTTCTCCTTAGTGAACTGATTTTAGGTGAACTGATTTTAGGCAAGATTATGCAACGCACATTATAATCAGTTGTATTAGTTCTTTTTTTGGTGATTGATAAGGCAGAAATTAGCAAGTTTTTTCAAGTTTCCTGATAACCTCACTAGCTATGTGGAACATTAAACTGAGCTACTAGCCTACAACCTCTAGATTATTATTTATGTAAAAATCCATGTAAAGGAAGGTGTACCATGGAGAACGTTATTTGTAGTCTACCTTGTTTTTATATGCTTACTGACTTATTTGTAACTCTTCTCAGGAAAGGTGTACCATGATATGGTAGGTAGTGCTTACTATGTTGCTCCAGAAGTGTTGCGGCGTAGTTATGGGAAAGAAATTGACATCTGGAGTGCTGGAGTTATTTTGTATATTCTACTTAGTGGTGTCCCTCCTTTTTGGGCTGGTAATACAAAAATGTCAATGTCTGCTTGCTCAAGTGTTTTGGGTTTCAGTGTGTTGTAAATTCTCTTGTCAATGGTATTCAATTACCAAAGCTGATGAATTTTCTGAATTTCTATTGCAGAAACTGAAAAGGGAATATTTAATGCCATTTTGAAGGGAGAAATAGACTTTCAAAGTGATCCATGGCCAAAAATATCAGAAAGTGCTAAAGATCTAGTCAAGAAAATGCTGACCATGGACCCAAAAAAGCGGATAACTTCAGCACAAGTTCTTGGTATTTAACTCTTTGTTTCTTCCTTTTACACATTAATTGTAATCAGTGAAGGTATTCTGTTTTAGTCTAATTAATTGGACCAGTTATCATCTATCTTGTGGTGTGCAAGTTCTACTTCCGTCAAATGACATCACATGTTTCACTATATTTTATATTTCTTGCAAAATTATTTCTTTAAATGAAAATGAATGGTTTTTCCTTGCTTGACCACAATTAAAGTTTTAAATTTATTAGTCTTTTTCCTGCTCCCACCATACATTCCCATTACTTCTGAAAATGCCATCTATTCATTTTTTATTGGACATTATTGTCTTTACTCATTGTGGAACAATATATTCCAATTATCTAAAACCTTTTACTCTTCTGGGCTTTAGTTAATATAAGATAATCTGTACTGTCAGAGCATCCTTGGATTAGAGAAGGTGGAGAAGCATCAGACAAGCCAATAGATAGTGCTGTTCTCTCCAGAATGAAGCAATTCAGAGCAATGAATAAGCTCAAGAAGCTTGCTTTGAAGGTTAAGTATATAACTAGATTGTAGAAGCTTCTAATCATAAATTTAAGATATTGTGATAACTTTCCAACCAAGAGCTTGGAAATGTCTACTTTACCCATTCCAGTTACCAAGATTTATTTATTTATTTATTTATTTTTGCTCAAAGGTTTCTTTCTAAACCCTGTTAATGCTTATACCAAAGAAACCACTATGAGTGAAGCCAACCACTGGTTTTCTGATATACCAATCATAGCTCTCAGAACTGGCATTTAATCTCCACAAAATATTATGTTTTTGGAAGAGGAGCCTTCTTTTGTGATACTGCAATCTAAGCTCGATATTTATGCAATATGCAGGTACTTTTAGAGCTTATAGTTACCTCATTGCAGATGATGTTACTAAATAATGTTGGTATGTTTGGAAATTCCCCTAGGTTATTGCAGAAAATCTATCTGAGGAAGAAATCAAAGGTCTTAAGGCAACGTTCTCAAACTTGGACACTGACAAAAGTGGCACAATCACCTATGAGGAATTAAAGACGGGTTTAGCTCGTCTAGGATCAAGGCTCTCTGAAGCTGAAGTCAAGCAACTAATGGAAGCTGTAAGTAACTGTCCACCTCAGTGGTGCTTAAACAGGATTTTTCTGGGTACTTATGCCTGCATCTCAAACTCAATTGGAAATTGTTTGATGTGTAATATGTTTCAGGCTGATGTGGATGGAAATGGAACGATTGACTACATTGAATTCATCACGGCAACCATGCATAGATACAAACTGGAAAGAGATGAACACCTATATAAAGCATTTAAGCATTTTGACAAAGATAACAGCGGGTAAGTTCTTAGCTTTAATGTGTCCATTATAATGACCATCGTCTTTGCATGTTATTGATTGCATGCTACCTTGTGTCCATGACTGCTTGATGAAGTTCCTCACTTTGTCATCATGTGAGTGAGTACTGGGAAATAATAACAGTTTCATACTAACATTATAATCACCATACATCCACTGCAGGTATATTACAAAGGATGAGCTGGAAACTGCCATGAAAGACTATGGAATGGGTGATGAAGACAGCATCAGGGAAATAATCTCTGAGGTTGATTCAGATCATGTAAGTTGTCTCAAAGAAAATACTTAGAACTCTAGTTAATCATTGTTGGTATTGACATGACTTGAACTGACAGGATGGGAGGATCAACTATGAGGAGTTCTGCACAATGATGAGAAGTGGTCTGCAACAAACTGAAAAGCTCTGCTAGGTCTAACTGATGGAGGCAGAGATTCCATTGCCAAGTAAAAACCAAGCTCCTGCATGAGATAACTGAGTAAGCAGAAATGAGGCAGTTTCACCTGAAGGCATGAGATAGATTGTTGTCTGGGATCATTTCATTTACAGAGGCCTTTGATACCCTAATGTTGGAAATTTGATAGTATCAATTGAGGTTGTCTTATAGTTTGTGTGTTTTTTCTTCTCTTCTTTTTTTTTTTTTTTTTTTCTTTTAAATAGTGAGGTTGTCTTATCGTTTGTGCATATACCCACATTCTAAATAAAAACCTACTTGTTTTCAGAGTGCACTCGTTTTCCTCCTGATTCCTTTTGTCTTTATGAATTCTCACTCTTTTTCTCCATTTTCTTTTAACTTTGTGTTCCTGCCAGTGTTTTCGAGTAATCTAGGAAAATTCTCATACAATGAAGTTTATTTGTGATTCGATGAAAGGAAATGCTTACCAATAATAAGTTCTTGATGTATTGTTTGCTTAGTTTTTTTAAAGTTTTCTGGTCTTGTTAAAATCGACATAGCAAGACACAGCTATGACTAAACCATCAAGAGATTTCCCCATCCTTGCTTTAGAATTTTACCCCATTGAGTAGTGCACCTCTAATATCTAAAATGAAGATGAATGTTGTCACGCTCTAAAGCCAGAGCTAAATAGATGTCGGACAGTTGTAAGTATGTCTCACAAGTATATAAGGCTCAAAACATGTTGCATTCCCCCACGTGGCTGCAGTGGCAATCACGCTTCT